TTCTCTATTCTGGAGCATACAAATACTATGATCTTGACACATTAATGAAGAAAGTGTTATACCTCAGATATACTAACTTATTTGGTGAAAACATAGATGACTATCTTGAAGGTTTAACTATTGTTCATAAAGATTGGAGAATACTCTTCAATGAGTATAAAGATCTTCCCAATGTTTTCTTTATATGTGATCCTCCATACTTCCATACTTATTCTATACAGTATGGAGATGAATGGACTCTTAAAGATACTGTAGAAACCTTTGATGTCCTTAATTATCCATCTATTTACTTCAGTAGTGATAAATCTTATACAGAAGAACTTATAGAGATATTGACAAAAAGATATGGAGAGAAATTTCCTATGAGAAAGCATGTTATAGATAGAGGTTTAATTAATCCTAACACTCAGAAAAATAATGAAGTAATATATGTCACTTTTTCTGTTAATGGAGAAGAGAAAGATCAAGAAGATAATAGTTGATGAGGGAACTGAAGAAGCGACGACATTCATCTTTGACGACGGAAAGCTCACATTCGTTGTCGATAAAAATGGACAACACTTACACAAAAGAAAGAGACCAAGAAAATTTTTAGATCTCCCAAAAGCTAGGAAACCAAAGGAACCATTTCCAGTACCAGCCGTCCAAGAACCAGAGAGACTTTTGATACCAAAACCTGTGGTTGACAAATATGATCCAGATCAGTTCTTCCCAAAAATACCAAAGTTAGAATAAAAACTCCTTTATTTCTTTAGTATTATATAATAAGTCTATTAGTAAGCTCTGTTCTCGTTCTGTTCTGGTATTTTGACGTCTTTTCATGGTCTCGCATAATAAGATCATGAACTTTTTCTTGAGATACTCGAAGAGCTGAGGTAAGTTATCATATTCTGGATATGTAGGAAGCATCCCTGCTATCGTAAGTGTTGTATCAATAAGGATTGGACTTATATCGGAAAAGTCGAGATCTGGAGTAGAATAAGAAGGTAAGTCTCTTACATGTAGGTAGTCATTATATGCTTTACGCATGAGACTGAGTTTCTGGAGCACAACTATGAGACTTTGGTTCTGACGTTCAAGTTTGCTTAAAGTTCTCTCCAAGCTTCTGTAATAAACGTCAACCTCTGTAAGAGCAGATATTTTTGCATTGATCTCGGAGATCTTTTCTTGAACTTCACCAAGTTTGACCTTAACTGACGTTTGAGCTCCCATCATGTTTTCATCAAGGTCATTCTCTATGTCATCAATGATATCTTCCCATGAAGTCATGTTTTCATCATTGATCTTAACGTGAACACTCATGAAAAAAATGTCATGTAAAGTATAAATGTCAGATTTTTACTCTTGAGCTTCTTCTCTCTGGATTGACTCGTCTGTAGGGCTTAATGTGCCATCACGTTCGACCAGAAGGTTCTGCTCAGGTCTGTCAAGGAGCTGTCTGTAGGTCGTGAAGGTTTCAACGAGTCCTTGGTAAGGAGTTTGGAGATCAACATCGACCCATGGGTGTTTGCGTAAGAAAGCAGCAAGGCTTTCACGCTTGGAGTCAATGACATCTTTCTTATTGGTTAATCCTTCTTCAAAGCTTAGGATTACTCCTGCAGTTGATTCAAGTCTTTGGATCTGGCGTCTGGAAACCTTGGTGAGTTGTCTTATCCTCTCGTTTCCAAATACATGCAGGAGATATGCAGAAATTACTTCATTAAGTTCGATTAAACAAATTGGATGAAGATCAGTCATGGCTTTTGTAAAGCAATCTTTTGTAAAGCTGTCTTTTGTAAAGCAGACTTTTGTAAAGCAATCTTTTGTAAAGCAATCTTTTGTAAAGCAGACTTTTGTAAAGCAATCTTTTGTCAAAGTCTTTTCAGACTTTTTAAAGCAATCTTTTGTCAAGACGTCTTTTGTAAAGCAAAAGTATTCAATTTTGTGAGAAAATGCTTTTGTAAAGCAGTCTTTTGTAAAGCTGTCTTTTGTCAAGACGTCTTTTGTAAAGCTGTCTTTTGTAAAGCAGTCTTTTGTAAAGCTGTCTTTTGTAAAGCTGTCTTTTGTAAAGCTGTCTTTTGTAAAGCTGTCTTTTGTAAAGCTGTCTTTTGTAAAGCAGTCTTTTGTAAAGACATAACCGACGACCGAATGTCCCAAGATGGTACAACACCAGCTCCAGCATCACCAACACTAGATATGATGGCAATGATGATGCAGATGATGCAACAGCAAACCCAGCTTATACAGCAAATGCAGGAAAAGAAAACTTTCAATAAACCTGCAAAGAACTCACAAGATCTTGAAGCTGGACTCAATGCTCTCAGGAACGACTACAAGAGAGAGCAGATGACGTTTAGGAAGAAGGGTGATGAAGATTATGAGAATGATCCGATCGAGGAAGACGAGATCAAGTCCACTGCATCCACAAAGACCCTCCAGGATGAAAGAGATGATGAGGGATTCCTTACCAAGTCTCAAAGACTCTTTGTCCTTGAGTTCTTCACGATCTCTGCCTTGAGATCTATGAGGAATTGGAAGGGTCGCGTTCCAAGTGGCTCAAACAAGCGCGAACTACTCATGACCGCAGTACCGCTCACTAAGACAAAAGTCCAGCTCATGGACTTTATCCTTTCCGCTTGTCCCGACGAGATCTAAGATCTGATCAGAGTAAAAACTTACATTTATGAGCTAAGCTCAGTAATAATTAGTTGTTTATTCTTTCTTCTCATACTTCTGTGCAAGGTTTCCACGGAAGAACTCAAGCAACATTTGGATCTTTCCAAGCTTTCGACCTTCTTTTTCGAGGTCATCCTGGTAAGTTCGGAATGCGTCAACGTGTGAGCTCGCATAGAATGCAGCAACAACAACCTCTTCTGCACCTTCTTTGCTGTCAAGTGGCATGAACTCGAATCCTTCCATTCGACCAAATAAAAGTGACAAAAATGTCAATGAGACCCACTCGTTGCATAGATGCTAAACCTGGTCCGAAGATGCAAAAGTTCTTCAGAACACTCATGTCTGACCAGAGGGAGTACGGTCATGAAGAGGTCATACAGATCTTCGATCAGTGTGTACCAAAGCCTGAGAATCCAGACGAACTCTTCATGTAAATTTACTTGCTTCAATGGAGAGATGAGAGACCAGGTATGAAACTCAGACCAATAACAATCTTTCCAGGTTTCTGCAATTACCTAGAACAAGCATGCCAGATCAAATGGTCTGACACCATCTTCCTCCAAAAATAAACTTTATCGTTTATAACACTTCAGGATCTACATCTATTTCTTCTGCTTCATCCTCAATGTCGATCTCTTCGACAGGTTTGATAGCAGCTTTGAGTAAGTTCTTACCCATTGTCTTAAGTTCAACTGGGTTATATTCTTTGTCTTTACTCTTTGTTGATTTCGTGAGATCTACATATAAACAATAACTTTTAGTCTTGTCAAGGTTTATTCTCGCTGAGAAATGGTCAGGAATGTTTATAGCTATCTTTTCAAACTTGAGTAAATTAGCTAAACCTTCATTTGTGTATTTCTGCTTATCGACAAAGATCATGATCGGACTTGCACTATAACCATACTTTCCTTGACATAATGTTTGTGGTAAGCATATAAGTAGTCTCTTTGCTGTTTTATTTTGCTTCTTCACTTCATCTACAAACTGTTGGATCTTAAAGAACTTTATATGATGTTCAGACATCTTTATATACCCGATAAAAAGTTCAGATAAAAAAATAATTAGCTATATTTTTATTAGTGCATAAATGAGTCTTTCTTTGAGATTTTCTGATGAAGATCTAACTTTGGTAAGATCTTTAAAAGATGATGAAAACATTCTTTCTGTCATTGATGAAGAAAAGAAATACTTCAGTAATGATGTAAAAATAGAGCTACTCATTCATACTGAGAAACAGTTTGTGATCGTGATCTTGAGTTAAGCAGCTCTGAACCATGCGAATACAGTCATAAATGGTGGCATATAATCTGCACCCGAGCCTGTTGGATTTGTTGTGAAAGTGTGTGAATGATTTCCTGTGGTTCCACAGAAAATACCTGCGCTTGAATCTACTGGGTCACTTGAAATATCATATCTATTCATTCCCTGTCTATCCGAACCTGCTGCAAGATTTGTATAACCTCTTTTTGTTATTGAATGTGAATGACTACCTGTTGTGTTTGTAGTTCCTGTATGAGTGTGCGGTGGAAGGTTTGCTTCTTTAATTTTTCGAACCTCGCTTTGTTTGAATATCTAGCACAGTATAAGAATTTGTCTACAATCTGCTTCCATTCACCAAAACCTAAAACACTTGCTGGATTTGTTGAGTTCATTGACGTATAAATAGAACCAACAGGATATATGGTTTCAAGAATCTGAGTCTTTAATGTTTGAAGCTCTGTTTTATCTGCTTTCTTATCATATAAATCTTGAGCAGTGAATTTAATATTATGTTCATCCTTCATGACATAAACATCTTTACATCTAATGTTTCTCATCGTCGTTATGTCGTCATCCGATGTTAAACCTTGTGGAAAGTTAGGAGGTTTACAATATAATGCATCCCCACCAGTTCCTTCAACCGTTCCTTCAATACTTTCTATAGCAACAGTTGTGAAGAAATCATGTGTATGGTTCTTATCTGCTTTTTTATCTAACATTGCTGGTAGTTCATGTGTTTCAAAGTTTCTGACATGACCTTCAATGTTCATACATTTGTTATTTAAGGAGTTTAGTGTATCTTTTACGCTTGTACTTGGATTCTCTAAAGGTGCACTTGAACCAAGGGTATAGTTCAATATTATGTCGTCTGCTCTTATTTTATTGATTATAACAGGTTTGTCTTCTCTTGAACGAATTGATTTAACTGTCAAAGGTTCAGTGAACTCATTATTTTTCAAAGGAATCAATGTTGTATTGATGTTTTCACCATTAATATATACTTCTTTTGCATCAATACCAGATGGGAATGAAACTCTTTCATTAACTTTAACTGTTGTACCATCACCTGGGTACATATCTTTCTCTGGACCTTTGATTGTCTTAAGTATGACACACTGTGGTAAAGTATATTCTTTAGATGTAACTTTACGTATCTCTTCGTCAACATAACTTTTGTCAGCTTTGTTTGCAATCTCAAGTGCAGTTCTTCCTCCATTATTTTTGTTCTCCTCAACTTTCTTCGCTAATTCAGCAAGAATGAGATAAAGATAATCAGTAAGGTCATCAGTACCAGACATATTAATATTATTGTTCTTTCTTGATGTATTAGCAACTTTCACTAAGGTCACAAAATCAGGGTACAAAGTACTTAACGTAGAAATGATTGTTTTTGGTCCAGGATCTTTCTCTTCTTCATCATTAGCATCACGTGGCATTGGAATTGGTTCCAAAGGTCCAGTCACATCAAAACTCTCAAGTTCCATATAACCTTCATTTCTGAATCTTTCTATATGAGTTATCTTCTGGAAACTTGTTTTAGTCTTTTCAACTAAATTTTTTATTCCATCCACAAAACCTCCTTTATGATTTGGACCAAGATTACCCAGAGTGTCAAGAACAGTATCTATACCTTCTTGACTTTCAACAAAAGCCCAAAGAGCATTTATTTGACTCTGGAGTGATATCCATGAGGCTGCAGTAGCACCGGCGTTTGCTATGGCAAAGATGAATGATAAAGGGTTGAACTTAAGACCAGATTCTTTATCTTTGACAATTTCAACGAAGTCATTGATATTTTTCTTCAAGTATTCCTTAGTCAGAAGAACTCCATCGCCAGCTATACCAGTTGCTTTTGTCTTTCCTTTAACATCAAATGTGATTGGTTTCTTCAATAAAATAACTTCTGGTGTTGTACTGATGCTATCATTAGTGGAGAAAAATTCTCCGACATGACTTGCTAAGTATTCTTTCGTCAATAATGTTCCATCACCAACAATACCAGTTGCTTTTGGACCATCTTCTGTGAATGTCAATGGTTTCTTTAACATAACTTTATCTAAGTATATTGCAATACCACTATTTTGTACTTGTTCATGACCTAATATATAAGCAAATGCTGCGTTTAAAGCATTATACAATGTATCTTCTTTAAATGTTAATTGACTGTTTTCAATCATTGGTATATTGAACAGTGTAGACCTTGGGTCAAAATGAACTCCATGGTCAATCGATAATAACCGTTTAACATGATATATTATAGTCTCTAATGCTTCATTAATATTTACCTCACGAGTTTCTTGCAAACCATTACTCGCCATACATGAAAACATATAATCTCTATCAGTTGTGAAGAATGGAGCATCTAAGTAATTATTCTCTACTTTTGTCACACGATTCTGTAACGCTTGAAGGTATTGATTTAAGTCTGTTTCAACAATTGTACCATCTGGTTGCTCGATAGGTAATATACCAGGACCGATGGTAATGTCTTCATCAGCACCTTCTTTATGTATGACTAAAGCATTATCAGTAATTCTGAGAGTATATTCTTTATATTGAAGTACGCTAGACTTATAACATTCATATGCATATGGAACAACACTCATTCTTTTACTACATATAAAAATGATGTATTATCTACAATCGACTGATCCTAATAACTACGGGACAATACAGTTTCAAGCAGATCCTAACATGGGGCATCCAAGTAAGATAAAGATGAGAGTAAAAAGTGTCAGTACTATGGCGAACTTTATTGTTTGTGACGAAACAGATTATTTTGTCTTACAGTTAGACGAAGATGGAGAAGAAAAGGTGTGTACATTTAAGTCAGCTCTTTCATTTGATATGGATACTATTGTATCAAAACTACAAGAGATTGTAACAAAACAGTTTGATTATTATAACAAGAAAAAAGGTCAACATAATGTAACAGTTTCACTGAGTGCTACGAATCAACTTATATTTACGTCACAGGACAAAGGACATAAAGTCTATTTAAAAGATGCTTCACATAGAGCAAATCTTATTTTAGGTGCATATGGAATAGAACTACCTATTGTACATAATTATTATCTACAAATGCCAAAACCACCTATGCTCAACTTCGGGTATCAGTTATACCTTCGTTCATCAATGTCTGTCATCTCTGGGTTCAATAATATTGACCAAGTTGATGATCGAAGAAAGATCATGTACAGATCTACATGTTATAACATCAATGAGTTCTGGATATCTGGTAAACCACTTATATGTAAGGAATCCTCACCATGGATAGATGCATTTCCATGGGAACTAACTAATGTTACGTTTACCTTAGTTGACTTCCAAGATCAGCCTGTTCGATTATTGTCACCAATGTTTATGGTGATAGAGATTAAACCAGATAAGCCAGAAGTTAGAGAAACCAATGATGTCAGTGATGATGATACAGAATCTTCGTACGATTATGATTACGATGACGATTAAAAAAAAATAACGTATATTTTTTTATCGGTTATAAAAGACCAACATGCTCAATGCTATAAAAGGATTAGTTAATAACCTTTCACCAGAAGATAAGAAAGGTATGCTTGATATGTTTGGGATCAAAATGCCTAAGAAAGCTAAAGACATTACCAATAAATTAGCTCTGGCAATTAAGAATCAAGGAGGTACAGGAAGTGTAGCAGATATTTTCAAGAATGCTAAGAGCTTCTATGATGACTACAATGGTATCA